GAGGAAGGCATAAACAAAAGCCTTTTGCTTTGAAAAAAAAAAATGTAACTGAGGGCAGTATTAAGGGACATCTGGAAGACTTATAAAGATGCCACAGTCTCCAGGCTAAGTCCCAAGAGAGCCCCCAGTCAAGAGATTTTAAACTCCTAGAGGCCTCTGTTCTTCCTGCCCACAGGGCTACAGCTTCCAACTAGATTGTCCATATTGACTTGAAAAATAGAAGCAGGCATAGTTTCAGGTTAGACCACATCAAACGTTCACAGTGTTCTGGGTCTTGCTGCCTCTAAGCCATAGGTATTTCATAGAAGTTGAAACTAATCTAATAAAAAAACAAATGACCAGGTCAGCCTCAACCAAAGTAAGAGTGGTAACCACAGAGTCTGATTCCACAATGTTCCATGTCAATTCTTCTCACTCTCAAGAACCAAATGGTGAGAGTTCCCTTTCTTGTAGTTCCTTTATGTGGCTATGGAAATATATGTGTAGTACAGTAAGGTGCAAAGCTGACAAAACTCAGACCAAGAAGCAGGATAGGAACACAACATTCAGCACTCTTCTACCATCTCCTCGCTTCATTGTTTCTCCAATATGCATCTGTTCTCCAATACACCGTGACCCAGGTTCCAAGCTCTGTAATAAGTCCCAATGTTTAAGTATAGCATGCAAAGCACAGTGCAATATACCTTCTTACTTGAACTCCCAGTGAATTAGCATTCAAGTATCATGAAGAAGCCATTTTATAGTAGAGGCAGAGGCTCAAAGGGAACTCACAATGCAAAGTCTATCAATAAAAAATGGCAGATTCTAAAAAACTACCATGGCTTTTTCATTACTTCAAACCACTGGTGAGGTAAAGCAAACCCAAAAAAAAGCTATGCATTTTAATTTATGTTGCTCTTTTTCTGTTTTCACAGTGGAATTTTTACTTGGCAACTGAAGCTTTGAAGTAGGTGATTGTTGTACTAACAACAGATATTTGAAAGTGGTATTCAGTTGGGTTTAAAGAAGCAAAAGTAGAGACCAGAGAGAAGTTATAAATAGTGACACGAACAATAATAATAAATTAAGGGGAACCCAAGGAGGCTTTCCCCAAATGGTTATCTACCATACACCTTTATCCTGAAACATCCCACCACCACACCCTTCTCCTGGTTAATGAACATACTGTGGTTGATACCCCTTGAACTATATAATCTGTTCCACAAAAAACAAACCCATGCTACTCTTGCGTCCCCAACTCCCTGGTTACATGCAGTCTATGGAAACCATCTGTGGCAAAGTAAATCATTCGACCCTGAGAAACTCCAGAGTGTTTGTTTTGTTTTGTTTTGTTTTCTTTAAGTGTGTTTTGAAGTCCTGGTTGGAAAATTAGTGAAAACTGTAAATCTGTTTGCAAATCTGGTCATGTCTAACTCTGAGATTAGGGCAAAGATTCCAATTTAAAAGTAAAACCGTGACAACCCTAGTTAAGCGTGTCCTCAGGCACTGCCAGCAGGGCCTTCACTCACTTCCACGGGCAGTGGGTTTATTACAGGCACCCCTGGAGTATTTACTGGAGACAGCAGGGTTCAGTCTGTACTTCCTCTGTAGACCAATATATTATTATAAATTGAGCTAAACTGTTTCCTTTCCATAAGTGCTATGAAGTTCAGATTTCAGATATCAGCACCAGGCTCAGGTCCCTCCATGGGTCTCCTTGTTATTTGGATTTCAGAAAGGAAGGGGAAAAGGCAGCATTAGACAGCAGTTGCTTTTATTTTTGTTTGCCTTTTAATAGGACACAGAGGAAGATTCATTTCAGAAATCCAATATGACACTCTCATAAGAAAATATATTCTAAACATAGGCTTTAGTGTATAAACTCTGCTACTCCTGCCACAGTTCAACAGGAAACTCACTATTTCACCTCTATCTAAAAGCAGGAGTTAGGATATCTCTTACATATAGGCTCCTAAAAAATAGCAACATGAATTTCTTGTTTGTCACCTACAATGGTTAATGAGACTCATATACACTTAAAATGTATATTCCTTGTAACATATATCAAAAGAACAATGTAATTATTTAATATTTTTGTTACTAATCCAGATCTTAAATTCTGAGAAAAGCATAACTTTCAAAAGAAATGAGAGGAAGAAACAAACAGAACATCCTCATCTTCTCTTCCTTTCCTAAGAAGCCATTAGGTAAGGGAGAGGCATCACCTTGAGAGGAGAAGAGGTACAAGCAAAAAGCCTACGGTTTGGACTTGAGGGGGATGAGGAAGGGTGCTCTGATGTGGGGGTGTCATGGGATAAAATGACAAGTCCCAATTCATGCTTCTTACGAGCTGTGTAACCACAGCTAAGCACATCAGTCTAACCTTGATTTCCTCTTTTGCAAGAATAGCCAATATTTGCTTCTCAGGGTTATTAAACAGATCAACAGAACCCTTGACTTGTCTTCAGTTCTCAATAAATGTGGTTGTCGTTCATATTATTACGGCAATTCTAGATATATACATGTATAAAAACTCTGAAAAGGAATATACTAAATCATGCATGAAAACTGATTTTTATATTCTTTCATTTTATACTTTGCAGTTTTTTTCTCTACAATGAGCACATATTGCCTTTTTAATCAGAAGAAAACACATCAGATGCTGTTAAATATACACAAGATAACTGAGCTTTTATAATGCTTATCTAGACAATGAAAAAATGAATAAAGCTATTTTAAATGGCACCATTCTGGGTCCAATCTTTTAGAGCTTCAAATTACTATTAGAAATTTCTGTCCAAAGGGATGCAATTTATTGGCTGAAACTAATAGTCATTTAGACTTAAGCCAAATATCCAAATTTGTATGGTACATTTAAAATGAGATAATAATCTGTTTACCTACAAATGACAGTCAGCAATGGAACAGAGAGTGAAGAATAGAAACTTTAGTTCCTGGGTTCAGGCAGGGAAGAGGGAGAGGAAAAGATGACCTTAACACTGAAAGCATTCCAAATAGACATTTCGGTATATTGAGACAAGGCACTACATATGGAGCCTGCAACCCATTCTGGTCCCTGATCTGCCTCTGCCTCATATTAATGGAGTGACCTTGGAAAAATTACTGAAGAAAAAGTATGATCTCTGCTATCTGCCTCAGGAGGTTGACAGGAAGATGGGATTGCTTATGTGAAACTGATTTGCAAACTGCAAAGCAATGTGCAAAAGGGAAGCAAGAGATTAAGATCAGTGTCCAGCAACTGTAGGAATCTTCACCCCATGAGGAGAATTTAAAGGAAAAGGGACACAGCATTAAATACCATTAAATCACACTGTTCAGGAGTCCTCCATGATCACCTTCCATCCGCCTACAGACATTAAGAAGAAAGTCTCAAGCTGGTCCCATGGCATGGTTAACACTTCTCTAAGAGTTATTTGTCTCTTTTTAACAAAGATACAACAGGACTCAGACTCGAGATCTCCAGCAAAGAAACTACACACTTAGTAGTTTTTAGTTTCTCTCTCTCTCAATATATGTGTGATTACACACACACACACACACACATACATATATTTGAGGGGGTGGAGTGGTACTAGGGTTTGAACTCAGGACTAGGCAGGTAGTCTACTATGTGAGCCACACCTCCAGTCCTTATATGCTCTGGTTATTTTGGAGGTGGAATCTCACTTTTTGCCCAGGCTACGATCCTCCTATTTTACGCTTCCTACTATAGGTGGGATGACAGGTGCATGCCACTACACCCAGTTTTTTTTCATTGAGGTGGAATCTCACAAACATTTTTTTCCCAGGCTGCCCTAGAACTGCAATCTTCCCAATCTCAGCCTCCCAAGTAGCTAGGATTATAGGCATGATCCACCAACACCCAGTTAGTTTCTCTGTGTTGATTTTTACAAAGCACTTATAATTATGCCAAGTGATACTAGTTTTCCATTTGAAAATTTCCTTTTAAAATAAACCTATTTCAGTGAGATTTTAAGTTGATTTAGCGAGAAATAGCAAACAGTAAAGTAGCAGGTACAGGTATGGCAACAGTTTGGAGGCTGATGTGCAAAGGAATGATATGTGAAAAATGCTAAAGAGATATTCCATTCAGTGAATTTTCAGAAGACAAGGAACAAGATTTACACACCTCCAATAAATCCCCAGAACTTACCCAGTACGTGAAATATAGTGAACTCTCTACGAATATCAAATTAACTGGCAATTAATTCTTACCATAAACAGTGGGCTTGAGCCCTGGTTCTTCCTGGCTCTAAAACCTACATAGCAGTATATTTTCCCAGGCAGACAGGAGTGAGATAAACCTACAGCCAAGGACAGAAAAAACCCTGAACAGCTTTGTGAGTAAAAGAAGGATACTGTTTGCACACCGTGCACTGGAAGACAAGTAGATTCTCTAAACAAGACAAAAAAAATTAGAACAAAGAAGCAAAAAATAAAGTCCCCCTCCCCCAACTCCATAGCTCTAATTAGCCAAAACACAGCTGAAATATCATTTCCTAAAGAACTAAATGGCAAGTAGAGAGAGACCCTGTGGCCAAGTCAGCTGCTTCTAAGAAGAAAGTAACTTTAAAACTAGGAAAAACTTTCTCATGACTAAAAACATACAAAAAGGCAAGTATTTTTAAAATTTAACAATAGTAAGTTGATTCAAATAACCTACAAGCTGTGAAGAACAATCCTAAAAATTATTTAGTACATCTGGGAACTCCAAATGTGCTAAACACTTAGAATAAAAAGAAAAGCAACTTTGAAATTTTACCAGTATCGGGGGCTGGGGATGTACATCAGTGGTAGAGCACTTGCTTAGCAACAAACCCAAGGCCCTGGGTTTGATCCTCAGCACCACAAGAAAACAAAAATGAAAAATCAGCATTATCTTAAAAAACAAAACCAAAAATTAACAATTACCTATGTGTTTTCATAATGAAGTTTCATTATTAATACAAAATACTCAAAAAGTTTATTTCAAAAGACATATGCAAAATGCGTACCCATAATCTAAGCTTAAGACAGAAGAGCATCAAGATAGTTTTGATTCTTTAACATTACCAAGCATGAAATAGCAGTCTCCTTGGTGAAGAGGTATTGCCAAACCCGGTGTCTCTATGTCCCATGAGATCTTAAAACCAACATGCCAAGTATCAGGGTCTCTGCCTTCGAGGTTAGAATCCTCCTCACTTTCTTCATCAGAACCTGTCAAGTGATAGAAAAGTAATCAGGAAAGAAATGCTTAATCTAAACATCTAGATTTTTGTAATTGTTACCTTAGAAATAATTGATATTTTAATAAAACATGGATGTTAAATAAAGTATCTTTTTATGTCATATATATGTCTTTTTAAGGATAATCTAGAAAATTTTTAACATAGCACTCATAGTTTTAAGGAAAAACATTAAATAAAATAATGAAGAAATAACTAATAAAGATAAAAGATTATTTAAATTGAGCATTGTGCTTCATGCCTATAATCCCAACACTCAGGAGGCTGAGGCAGGAAGATCGTGAGTTTGAGGCCAGATTAATCTATATGGTGAAACCCTCTATCTTAAAAAAAAGAAAGAAAGAAAGAAAAAAGGAATCAAAGGGGTAGTTTTTAGGAAGATACTAATTACAAAAATCAATTCAGGGAAAAAAACCCACAAAAAACAAAGAGCTAAACAAACCACAGAAGGCATAGAGGAAGTTGTCCAAGAGTTCTCTCTTAGGAAAACAGAGACCCAGAGAGGTTCAAAGAATTCACTACTAAACAATTAAGGAATGGGTAATTTAAATTTGTGTAAGAGCATAGGAAAAGAAAGATTCTAAATCTTTTCACAAAAATGAAATAATATCTATCACAACTCAAGACAAATCACATATATACAAACCAATCTCACATATGAAAAATCAATGCAAAACTTCTAAATATATGAAAATAGAATTAAAGAAGTAACATTCCATGACCATGTAAAACTTTTTTTGGACAATATAGCTCAATATTCAAAAACAACTTTAATTTCATAAAATTATAGATCAAACCAAAACCAAAAACTTATGAGTTATCACTCTGATAACACAAAAATAATTGGTAGAACACATTATCCTTTCATGATCAAAAACCTCAATAAATAGGATAGCTGACTACTTTCTCAACATGACAAAACATAGATCTACCCCAGCCCCAAAGCTCATATTTCAATGGAGAAAAACTAGAAACAAAGTTAAGAAATAGAAAAAACTGTCTAGCATCAGAATCATTCATCATTTTTCTAGAAGAAATGGCCAACACAATGGTGCCTCTGGCATTGCCTAACAAAGCAGTCCTAATTAGATAAAATAAGAGACATTAAAATTTTAATGAGAAAAAAAGCAAATTAAAAAACATATATCCCAGGCAATAGGAAAATTTTAAAGTGCTACCTGCAAAATTAAATCAATAATTATTAACTTCTAAAAATATAAGCAAATACCTCATCTACAAAAAACAGCTTCCAAGATTTTTTATGTGTATCTTGAACATGAAGAAAAACTTTAAATTGTTACTAAAGGACACAAAAGGAGTTTCAATCATATAAACAATCCAAAAGTACAGGCACTCCAGAGTCAAAAGCTATTTCCTAGGTTAATCCCAGAAACATTTTTAAAAGAATTCTTTGGAGCAGGGATGATAAATACCTTACGTACCAGAGGACAGACATGGCAAGTATACTGGGATGGCTTTTTTCAGGCCTGGTAGAGAAGAATTCAGGAGTTTCTCCAGGGTAGAGGGGAAAGAGTGGCATGATGACTGACTGGAGTCTACAAAGGGCACTAGAAGAGTCACCATCAGTGCTAGCACCAGACAGCTGCTCTCCATGCCTGGCATTCTGAAGGCATTTCTTTTTCTTAATAGAGTACACAGATACACTTGAAAATACTGCAATTTGCTAAACTAGAGCTTGTGAACCAGAAGAGAATTGGCAAAAGTATGTAGCTTCACTTGCACTGTATTTCCTTAACAAATCTAAATGAGTTAACAACTGATAAGTCTTTGCATAAAAATGGAAAATCCCAGCTATTGGTGAATTATAAGATCTGATATCCCTGAACCAATCACAAGTGGCTATAGGTAAGAAGTAGCTGTCCCTTGTCGTCAAAGTGTGTTTTCTCTGCTACTCATAGTCTCCAGATGGCCACTTCACTCATTTATAGTGCATGCCTGGACCCTACTGGACCCTATAGCAAAGTTCGTGAACCTTGTTCTACAGCTCAGACACAGAGCAAGTCTACAGGCCAATAAGGCCCATGACCTGCTTCTGTAAGTAACAATTAGCTAAAACACAATCAAGCTCCTTCATTTAAGTACTACTGTCCATGACTTACTTTCACACATAACAGCAGCAAGGGTGAGTGAGTAGCTAAGACACAGACTACAAGACCGACAAAGCCAAAAATATTTAGTATCCAACCCTTTCCAGAAAATGCTTACTAATTCCTTCTTTAAAGTTTTGGTATTTTGTGATTTGACAGAGACGTCTACTGTACATAACAGAAAAGCTGAGGCTGCATAAAATGATAATGATGTTGTATGGCTAACACCTAAAAATTGTAGCATGACTAATAATAGCATGCAACATACAAAGTAATTTATGCTGAATTAGTTGATATCCAGATCAATTTAGCAAAAGAATACTGATATGAGAATGAATGATGTAAGAATATTGAAATCATAAGTTTATATCTGTGATAGCCCCAGGCTTCAGAATGCTTCATCCCAAGAGAGCCTAATGACAAGAGACACAGCAAATAGCGCAAGAAAAATGAACAAAACTACTTTAAAAAGGATTTTCATGTGTCCTTCTCTGGTTCAAATTAGCTATAATGTAACATTGAAGAGAAATGATTTGAAATTGCAAAAACAATAGTTTTCAGGCGGTTTTAATGCCACTGAGTAAGGACATTCTGAAAGCGGTCATCTTTACAGGCTAAGAGGCATGTTGACTACTTCCCCTTTAACTTTCACCCTGGCACTTTTCTCAATCTGGCACCAATAAAGTCCTGAACGACAATCAGAGACAGCAATTCCAATCAGTGTTTCCTGATATCTCCCATAAATCTAGCACCTTTGAAATGAGCTCATTAAAATGATGTTTTGTTGAGGGTTCTTCCCCGCTGAGCAGGACAGGGAGGAGAAAAGTAGTGTGACTGATAAACTTTTTATTGCTTAAGTATAGTGTTGCTCACTTTCTCAGTAAAATCAACTGGTAATTATCTATAGCAACTGCAACTGATTACTCTTGCCCCATGTGATTTTGCAAACAAGTAGAGGCAATGAGTTCCTACTTGCCCTTAAGCCTTAGTAAAATCATCTCGGTGTGTTTGGTGCATTCCCTGCTCCCAATAATCAAATACTAAATATGTAAGTAATGTGACAAAATACAAAGACAGCTAAATTTAAAAGTAAAAGTTTAAAATATCCAAAACATCCCCCAAAATAATCAGTGGGATGTTTTTATGCTAAGAAGTTTTTGATGGAAAAAACAATTCCATTTAATTAAGGATAAATGTCAACAAATATTTGCTTACGTTTTTAAAGCTGTGTGCAACTGTGGTTATATAGAAACCAAAGAAAGCAGCTTCAGCATGACAGTAGAGATTTTAGTGCTAATCAAAATCTTTTGCAAAAAATCTACGCCAGATTTAATAACACATAATTAATGTTGTATGTCAATAATTTTTCTCATATGTAAATATATATTCATCACAACCACAAATTAAAACAAAGAGACTAAGAAGTTCCCTATTCCCTTAGCCAAGAGCTAAGATCTCAATGCTTGCACCCATGCCACTATCTTTGCCATTTTCTTGACTCTACACTTAGAGCAACTTAAGTATCAGGTCTCTTCCTACCCATGGCACAGATCTTGAAGCAGGAGAAACCCAAAATAGATAGTCAGCTGGCAGAGGGAGCCTCCTGATGACTTATCTGACCAGTGCTGATACTATGATACTCCAGGATCTGGAATGGGCCTCTGTTTTTAAAACTGGAAAGAGACAGAAGGTGAAAAGGAAAGGTGAGAGGTTAGAAGACACATTTTAGGAGGGAAATGGCCTGGTGTGTGTGGAAGAACATGACCAATTCTGCGTTGCAGGAGTGTCACCTGAGCGACATGGAACATGTGAGAAAAGAGATTGGAGAGGTTGGCAGATAGCAAGGTACAGAGGATTTTATGAACCATGGAGACTTACACTGAGGGCCAATGACAAACACTAAAGACTTTCTCATAGGCCAGATCCGTTTTTCAGAATGATCCCTCAGGAAAGTACAGGCTTCTATGTACAAACTTAGTATACTTTTGCTGCACAAGTTCCCAAAGCAGTGGCAAGCGGTTGCTGCCAGAGAGGATTTAGGAAATGCCACGGAAGGACCATATCCCTAGGAAAGAAAGCCTACACGGGAAGAAGGCTCCCTGCCAGAGATCTATGGTTTTGAAATGCTTCCTTGATTGTTGGGAGGAACTAGGAGTCCAGCTGCTGCTAACACACAGCATACTCCTTTCTCAGTCACTGAGGAATAAATGGTCTGAAGAAATAGAGAATTTAGAAGAGGTTGAGGGGGAAAAAAACTAAGCAATCCCAGCTCTGAATCTGTAACAAGAAGCTGTTCTTAGTTGCCTTGAAACAAGTAATTCAGGACAAACGAAGTTCCTTGACAGAGATAAATTTTAAAATTAATTGTAAGCTTTCTGGGATTTCAGGCAAAATATTGAAAACTCTTTATGGAAAAGTCTAAATGCCTTCAATATGATGTCTGGCTCTGTCAGTTCTCAGATTAAGCATTTGGAAAAAATTTTAAGATAAAAAAACTCACATACATAGAAGAAATTCATTATATCATCTTTCATGGATTTAGGGAGAAAAAGTGAAAGTGAGAAAAATTGCTTTAGAGGGCCTTAGCTAAAGCTTCAAATTTACCATACTGTCTAAAGTAAAATATATAATAAGGAAAGGAAACAGAGACACTTCTCAAATACTACATTTTCTAAACTACAGCTAGTAACAGTAGAGGCTATGAATCCTTGAACAACCTCAGGAAGCTGCAAAGAGGGTCGTGGAGACTTGCAGGAAATCTTTCTGGTATAAATACCAGAAGATGAGAACCAAAGTGGGTTGACCAAGAAACAATAAAATTATTTGTTCATCCAGTTTCAGGGAAAGATTACCCAAGGTTTAA